AAAAAAAAAAAAAAACTAAACACTCTTCAAAGGAGAAAAAGACAACCATAATCCAGATAATCCAGATATCTATGAAACATTATCCAAGTGCGTAATTTAAAAACACACACAACACAAACAAGAGAAAAGATAGGAAAACGTGACACAGTCAAAGAAAGAAAACAAAGTCAACAGAAACAGATCCTAGGATAACCAGATGTTCAAATTAGCAAACAAGAAAATTAAATTACTAATAAATTATGAAAACTTTCAATGAATGGGCTTACACCCAGATTGAAGATAGCAAAAGGTCAGTGAATTTGGTAAACATGGTAAAAGAAACTAACTTAAACTGAAGTGAAAAAAAAAAAAAAAATGGGGAAAAAATGGACAGAATTTGGTGACCTACAGTCATATATATATTCAAGTAACAACAAGTGGAATCCAGAGGTGAGAACAAAGTGAAAAAAAAATTAAAAGAAATGATTTAAATTCCCCAAAACAATTGAATAACCCACAAGCTAACAAACTCAGCAAATCTAAAGCATACACACACACACAACACACACCACACAATTACCGCCCCTATACCTTGGAAAATCAGAACACCAAAGGTAAAGAAAACCCTTGAAAACAGCCAAAGAAAAATAATTTATTATATACAAGGGAAGAATGATATGAATTATGCCAGATTTTTCATCAGAAACACTGGAAGCCAGTGGACATACTATAGCACTGTTAAATACTGAAAGAAAGAAACTGTGAAACCAGCAAAGAATATCATTTGGGCCTCCCTGGTGGCACAAGGGGTTAAGCGTCAGCACTATGAAGCAATCTGCAGCCACTGCAGCATGAGTTCAATCCCTGGCCAGGGAGATGACCCAGTTGGCACAGCAGACATCTCCTGCCTTGCCCGCTGCTCCCTCAGCAGTGTATTTCAGTAGGACTGCCTGTTCTGCTCCCACTCTGTCTCTGGTGAATCCTCTCACAACGCACCTCTGGCCTACACCCAGTTCTTATATGCATAAATAAATAATGTTTTTTAAAAAAAATAAAACAAGGGCAAATAATACATCCAGAGAAATGAAAAAACAGAGAATCTTTCATGGCAGATCTGCTGTTGAGACCTACAACGAATGAAATGTATCAAAAGTGGTAACATGTGCCAAATATGAAAAATTACTTTTTTCCTATTCCCTTACAAGACAGAAGACTCTTTATGCTAAAAAACAAAAACAAAACAAAAAAACAACACCATAAATGAAATGGGTCTATTACCTTAATTTCTATCTTGCTCTATGAGGAAAAGTTGTCCAATCATAGAAAAGTCAGTTCCTACCATGCTGATGGCTAAAAGAAACATATCAGTTTCTGTAAAAAACAAGATTTAGAATTACTGAAAATTAATCTCCTCAATAATTAAAACAAAAAAATCTTAAGTATATATTGTGATTTAAATACAGCAAAGCTCTCCTCCCTGCCCACCTATGACTATATATCTCTCCTCTTTTTTCCCTTTCTCCTTCACCAAATAAACCTGTCCTTTTAAAATGCAAAAAAATAGAAAATAAATGGCAGTACTTAATAGCTTTTTTTAATTAAAGTCAAGTAAAATGCTAGTTTAGGGCCTCCCTGGTGGCGCAGGGGTTAAAGACTGTTACCATGCTACTGCCAGCCACTACAGCACAAGTTCGATCCCTAGCCATGGCGCAGAAGACCTCTCTTGTCTCTCCCGCTGGTCCCTCAGTAGCGTATTTCAGTACATCTACCTGTTTCTGCCCCCACCATAAATCCTCTCACTTCCCCCTCCCCGACTTACACCCTACTTCTTGTATGCATAAATAAATACATCTTTAAAAAAAAAAAGCTAGTATAAAGATATGTCTATGATCATATATACATAGTTGTATATACACATAGTTGTATTTCAATTTTATTGCAAAGAACCTCATGTATCAAAAAATAGCTCCTTTAAATTTGTATACAGAAATGTGGGATAAGATGGACATGTTCTTATTAAAGCAGTTGAAATTTTTTTTAAAGAATTTATTTATTTATGCGTACAAATCTGGGTGCAGCACAAAATAGGCCTTCAGGAATCTCAGGTTTGGCTTTTTTTCCTGATCTAGGCCAGAGGTGTAGGGGTGAGGGGATTCACCAGAGACAGAGTGGGGAGCAGAACAGAGAGACAGCTCCCTGGCCAGGGATCTCCATGTGGGTTAGCTCCCTGGTTGCGATCAACTCATGCAGCAGTGGCTGGCAATAGCTTGATAGTGCTGACACTTTAACCTCTGCACTACTGGGGAAGACCCAGTTGAAATTTTTTTAAAAAAGACATCCTGCCTAACTGGTCTCATTCAAAGTGGCCTAAAGAAAACTGTCAGTAATAGCCAGTGCAATGTTACACTGTGTAAGAAACAAGGATATGCTAAGTAATATGTAAAAAATAAATAAAATCTTCAAAAATATAGTATTGGGTCTCCCTAGTGGCCTAGAGGTTAAGTCTCAGTGCTATCATCACTGCAGCCCAAGATCGATCCCTGACATAGGGCACAGCAGACCTCTCCTGTCTTACCTGCTGCTTCCCTCAGCAGTGTATTTCAGTAATCCACTTGTTTCTGTTCCCACTCTGTTTCACCCACTTTGGCCTATACCCAGTTTTTCTACGCATAAATAAATAAGTCTTAAAAAAATAAAGTAATAAACTCAAATAAATAAATAAATAAAAATGAGTTACCTTTATTTGACCATGGTTTAGAGTAATAGTTTTTCCTAAAGCTGGAATATGTAGTTGTAGAGCCACGCTCAAATATGGGGTCATTCTCCTCAACAACACAAGGGCCTTTTGTTCTTAAAACTTCTACAGTTAAACTGAAAGAAACACATTTTCAAACAGATCCACACTAAAAACAAGTAATGAAACAAATAGCAAACGAAATCCAAACAATTACATTTTGAAATCTGCCATGGCAGTCACTTCAAAAGTACAATAATAATTATTAGAAGTATGCATACTTTGAAAGAATCTGCCAATTTTAACTTAAAATGTGATTGCTAAGGGATAAAATAAATGTCAACTTATTTTTAGAATTCTAAGCAGCAATATTGAAATTTATAAAATCTCTGGGTCACCTAAAAAACTGCCTTATTGAGTTCTGCATGTTTCCCATATTTAATATGTATCAGTAAGAGGGCTCCCGGTGGCGCAGCGGTTGAGCGCTGGTTGCGAAGCTGTCCGTGGCCACTGCGGCGCCGGTTCAATCCCCGGCTACTCCCCGGCTACCAGAGGAGGGTCCCACATGGCGCACAGACCTCTCCTGCCACCCGCTGCTCCCCTCAGCAATGTACTTAGGTCCTCTGCCTGCTCTGCTCCCCGCTCTGGCTCTGGTGAATTCTCTCACTCTCCCGCGCTTCTGACTGTATGTATAAACAAACAAACAAACAAATAAAACATGCCTCTATAAAAAATAATAAATAAATAAAATATGTATCAGTAAGAAATGTTAGCATTCATGAACACAAGTAAATATGATTTAACTATTTAATGACCAGTAAATCATCATCACAAATTAAGAAAACAACGTGCAATACTATTAATAGTACTTGTTTTATTATAATAAAATTTAAATGCGTAAGGTGATTTTTTAATTAAAGTAAGAAAATTTCCATCACTTTTCAAAATTTATTTACTACTAATTTATTTCCTATTTCTTTTAAAAATATACGTTGGGGGCCTCCCTTGGTGGCGCAGCGCTTGAGCGCTGGGCTGCGAAGCTGCCCGCAGCCTCTGCAGCGCCGGTTCGATCCCCGGCCACCAGCGAGAGTCCCACATGGAGTGCAGACCTCTCCTGCTGCGCCCGCTGCTCCCCTCAGCAGTGTATTTTGTAGGTCTGCCTGTTCTGTTCCCCGCTCTGGCTCTGGTGAATTCTCTCACCCTCCCACACTTCTGACTGTACTCAGTACTTGTGTAAATAAATACTTTTTTTTTTAATAGAGGCATGTTTTATTTATTTATTTATTTGTTTGTTTTGTTTTCATTTATACATGCACTGGGTACAATCAGAAGCACGGGAGGGTGAGAGAATTCACCAGAGCCAGAGCGGGAGCAGAGCAGGCAGAAGGACTGAAGTACACTGCTGAGGGAGCAGCGGGCGGCAGGAGAGGTCTGTGCGCCATGTGGGACCCTCCTCCGGTGGCAGGGGAGCAGCCGGGATCGAACTGGCGCCACAGAGGCTGCAGCCAGCTTCGCAACCCAGCGCTCAACCGATGCGCCACCGGGGAGGCCCTGTAAATAAATAAATTAAAAAAAAAATTGGAAAAAAGAAAATATATGTTGGGGGCCTCCCAGGTGGTACAAGGGTTAAGTCTCAGCACTATCAAGCTATTGCCAGCCACTGCAGCATGAGTTCAATCCTCGGTCAGGGAGATAACCCACCTGGCACAGCAGACCTCCCCGTCTCACCTGCTGCTCCCCTCAGCAGTGTATTTCAGGGGATCCGCCTGTTCTGCTCTCTCCCCACTCTGTCTCTGGTGAATCCTCAAACACCCCCAATTCCCTCCCAGCACTTCTGGCCTACACCCCAGTTTATATGCATAAATAAATAAATTAAACCTTAAAAAATAAACTTTGGGAAGACACCTAATTTCACAATAGCAAATTTAGAAATTTAGTATTATAACTGAGAATTAAACCTGGTAGGTTTGATGCAAAAATCACGTCAAAGTCTAAGAAAGAATGAAAGAAAACTTCTCTCATTAAACATAGCACATTTGTTTACTCATGAAACCACAATCTCTTTTTTTAACTTACCTTTCTTCATCCAAAATAATAGAACCATCTTCAGCCACTTTAACTCGAGGAACCAGCAATGGGCCATCATCTGTTTCTTCTTCTATTTCTTCATTATCTTCAGCATCAGGAGTACTTTTATTTTCTTGTCTAAAAAATGTGAAGAAATGTTATTTCACATACAGATGAGAAGTGTTTCCTGAATAATATGAACTACTGAATAAATTATTGCAAATTCAACCTTCCAGGTATCTTGAACTTTCCCTATAACCTAACAGAGAATATTATGTATTGCTAAAGACATAGTTATAATATTTTCTCAAATATTATTCATAGCACCTAGTAACAAAAAGCCTTTACTCTCTTCGAAAATAAAGAGAAATGCTCATCTTCTCTAATACAGTAGCAGAGTAAGCCATTCAAGTATTGTAGAATTATCAAAATAATCCTTACAGTAAATAGCATTACTTTCCATATAATTTAGTAACTCTTCAGAGCCAACACTTCTAGGTTAGTTTTTTCATATCCAGTTGAGGCTCAGAAAAGAAAATCTTCGCTCTAATTTACAAAACAGTAAGGGTAGACCAAGAAGTCAGTTTTTCAAATGACTCCAAATCTCATATACCTTCCATTTGGCTACATTGTCACCTTAAGGTTTTATTAAAGCAAACATAGCCTATAATATATAACCTATTTATAATATATATAATATATATAACCTATTTTTAAAACTTAGGAGTTCTATTTTAAGCTATCAGAGTCCTAGGCAAAACAAGTAGCCAGTACCCTTGAAGTGATAATCAGAAAATCCCAATGTTTCTGCTAATTTCCCACAATATCTCTACCTTGAATTACAAGGATACAATAACTTTCTAAATGGTCTCTTGAAGAGATTTCTTGGGAAGAAAGTAACATATGACAGTGCAATTGGAAAGCAACAGGGGTTTGCACAAAAAAATAGGCTAAGAGGGGCCTCCCTGGTGGTGTAAGGGGTTAAGCACTGCACTATGAAGCAATCTTCAGACTCTGCAGCACAAGTTCGATCCCCGGCTGGCCAGGGAGCAACCCACATGGCGCAGCAGAGCTCTCCTATCTCGCCTGCTGCTCCCCTCAGCAGTGTATTTCAGTCTGCCTGTTCTGTTCCCTACTCTGTCTCTGGTGAATCCTCTCACCCCCTACATCTCTGGCCTGTACCCCAGCTTTTGTGCATAAATAAATAAATCTTTAAAAAAAAAAAAAAAGCTAAGAGTGACATCAAAACTATACCCACAGTGTGAACAAAAAGCTAAAAAAGGAAAAGGAGGGACCTCCCTGGTGGCGCAAGGGGTAAGTCACAGCACTATGAAGCTACCTGTAGCACTACAGCAGGAGTTCGATCCCCAGCCAGGGAGGTGACCCACAAGGCGCAGCAGACCTCTCCTGTCTCACCCACTGCTCCCTCAGCAGTGTATTTCAGTCAACCTGCCTGTTCTATTCCGCACTCTGTCTCTGGTGATTCCTCTCACCCTCCCACACCTCTGGCCTGTACCCCAGTTTTTGTATGTATAATAAATAAATCTTTAAAAAAAAAAAAAAGAAAAAGGGAAAGAAGGAAAAAGAAAATATATGCATGTTTGCCTGAACAGATAATGACTAGAACTAGAATCAGAATGATACATTTAAAATTGATTACATTTGTTGCCTCCAGGGAGGGAACTAGGTGGCAGAAATACAAGGATGGAAGACTTTTACCTGTATACACTTTTCATCCTTTTGAATTTTGTAATATGTAAACATAGAGTATTAATATAAAACAAAATTACTTTCAATTCTTAAAGCTTTAACTTAAAATCACTAACACTGGCCATTCATATACGTACTACGCAAATAACATAAGGCTTTCATTTTTATTTAAATCTGATAGTAACTTATTCTTGCGATTCTATTTAAGCAGATTGATTCAAAAAGAATGAGATACTTACTCTCTTGTCTGGACTGGTGGCAATGATTTTTCAGTTTTCTTTTCTTGCTCTAGGGAAGACTATAAACACAAAGAACAGAATACTTTTTAAACAATTTTACATCTTGTCAATTATATCTGTACGCAAAAATCAAATTATTTTAACTTTCCTTTAAATAATTATATATACCATAATACTACTATTAATGATGATATGGCACAACTGTCAATTTTTCAGTCAAAAATTTTCATCATCAAATACAATAATTCATCAGGCCTTAAGTAGGGCCTTTATTCTTCTTTCTTATTTCAGTGATGGGGAGGTCCCAGTCCTGAGGCATGAAGCAACCTATGTGGCTTGTCTCCAACTCCCAACTGGCAAACACTCCAAAACTTAGAGTCTGGAACTTCTTTCAACTAGGTCAAAAACCTGGTAAATCAGAAACAGGCTACACTGGTGATATGCCACTACTTTCTACTTCTACATCCACCAGCTAAACCATCCACACACAGCTATGAGGTTTAGTAAAAACCCTCTGCCTCCACAGGCTAACTCTGATTAAAGTAGCTTTGTTCTTGGAGAATCTGGTAATCAAATTGCCTCTATTTAATCAGGAGATAGGGCATATAAAATATATCACCCTTCTACATCAGATCAGGTCACAGAGTATAAAAAATAGAAATCACAATCTTTATTACAAAAAAGTTGTTTAGCTATTTTACTTAGTCTTAGTATACAAAAGGAAATTTATTTTTAGTCTTCGCAGTAAAGGGCATCATTTACCACCCCAAGAAAGAAGCTACTTGAAATACCACTAATTTTTGTTATAAAATTCTATCTTAAAAACGGTCATAAGTGTTACAAATTTTGTCCACATGCTTTTGGAAAACATGAACCACCACTCCAAATGTGATAATTAAATCACAACATACTCAAAGTATAACAGGAATAAAGTTTACTTACGTCATTGGGTTGTTATCTGGCAGGTAATATATGAAGTCTCTCATAGTCATTTTTGTACGATCTGGTGGTCTCTGACTTTCATTTATTACATACTTGTTTTTCCATTGCTTCTAGATATACAAACACACACAGACCCACTTCTATAAATATATAAGAATTTCAGATGTATTATATTCAAGTACACACTGTTATATTCAGTGTCAAGTCCTAATATTATTCATATCATAATGAAGCCTACTATCAGGAAAAAATTTATAAACTGAATATTAAAATTAGGGCCTCCCCGGTGGCGCAGCGGTTGAGTGCTGGGCTGCAAAGCTGCCTGCAGCCTCTGCAGCGCCGGTTAGATCCCCGGCCACCGGCGAGGGTCCACATGGCACGCAGACCTCTCCTGCCGCGCCTGCTGCTCCCCTCAGCAGTGTGCTTCATCAGTCTGACTCTTCTGCTCCCCACTCCTGCTCTGGTGAATTCTCTCACCCTCCCGTGCTTCTGACTGTACCCAGTGCTTGTATAAATAAATAAATAAATCTTTTAAAAATTAAAAAAAAAAAAAAAGATCGGGCTATCAAGCTACTGCCAGCCACTACCATATGAGTTCGATCCCCAGACAGCCAGGGAGCAACCCATATGGCTCAGCAGACCTCTCCTGTCTCTCCCGCTACTCCCCTCAGCAGTGTATTTCAGTACATCTGTCTGTTCTGCTCCCCACTCTGTCTCTGGTGAATCCTCTCACCTCCTGCACCTCTGGCTTACACCCTAGTTCTTGGATGCATAAATAAATAAATATTTTTTAAAAATTGCCCAAGGTCACACAGTAAGGATAAATCCAAGATTCAAAGCTTACGCATCAAACAACAAGCTTGCATTCATTACTACTGTTACACTGCTTTCTCAGAAAAATAACCCTCAAAATTAAAAAGAACATGGACTACCTACATACATGCAAATTTTTCCCATTTATAATTTTCCACATTCTCAATTTAGGAAAAATAACCAATTCATTTTATTCAGCTACATTTGTCATAATTTAAATGACTAATTCATGTCAACTGAACATCTTCATGAAAATCAGATGTTTATTTTATAAATATGCTTGTATGTGTATCTGTGTGTATGTGTATAAAACTCTATTTGTGGGGCCTCCCTGGTAGTGCAGCAGTTGAGCGCTGGGTTTCGAAGCTGTCCGCAGCCTCTGCAGCGCCGGTTTGATCCCCCGCCGGGCGAGGGTCCCACATGGCGCACAGACCTCTCCTCCCGCCCGCTGCTCCCCTCAGCAGTGTACTTCATCAGTCTGCCTGCTCTGCTCTCCGCTCTGACTGTGGTGAATTCTCAACCTCCCGCACTTCTGACTGTATCCAGTGCTTGTATAAATAAATAATCTTTAAAAAAAAAAAAAAAACTCTATTTGTGGGGACTTCCCTGGTGATGCAGGGATTAAAGTCTCAGCACTGTCAAGCTATCACCAGCCACTGTGGCATGAGTTCAATCCCTGGCCAGGGAGCTAGCCCACATGATGCAGCAGATCTCTCTAATCTCACCCACTGCTCCCCTCAGCAGTGTATTTCAGTAGATCTGCCTGTTCTGCCCCTCACTGTGTCTCTGGTGAATCCACCCCTCCCCCCCCACCTCTGGCTTACACCTTAGTTTCTGTATGCATAAATAAATAAAATAAATCTTTAAAAAATAAAACTCTATTGTGGCCTCATCCAAATACAATGAAAAATATAGCAAGAAAAAAAATTGCTTAAGTCCAAAAAAAAGCTGATTAAGTGCTTCTTAATCAATCAGTTAAAAAAAGGAATATTCTGGGGCCTCCCTGGTGGAGCAATGTGTTAAGCACCACACAATGATGCAATCCAAACCTCTGCAGCATGAGTTCAATTCCCAGCCCACCAGGGAGCAACCCACATGGCAAAGCAGACCTCTCCTGTCTCACCCGCTGCTCCCCTCAGCAGTGTATTTCAGTCAGTCTGCCTGTTCTGTTTCCCACTCTGTATCCAGTGAATCCTCTCACCCCCCGCATCTCTGGCTTGTGCCCCAGCTCTTGTATGCATAAATAAATCTTAAAAAAATAAAATAAATTTAAAAAAATAAAAAATAAAAAGGAATATTCTCATTATATCAAGATGTTATTTGGTATTGTTCCTCATCAAAATCTGCAGATGGGCCTCCCTGATGGCACAAGGGGTTAACTCTCAGCACTATGAAGCTACAGGCAGCCACTGAGCATGAGTTCGATGCCCGGCCAGGGAGCCAACCCACATGGTGCAACAGACCTCTCCTGTCTCACCCGCTGCTCCCTTCAGTAGTGTACTTCAGTCAGTCTGCCTGTTCTGCTCCCCACTCTATCTCTTGAGAATCCTCTTACCTCTCTGCACCTCTGCCTATACCCCAGCTCTTGTATGCAGAAATAAAGAAATCTTTGGGGAAAAAAATACTACAAATGCTTACTTTTCCTTCAATGATGTCTGACCACTATGAAAACAGAAATATAGCAGGCAACAGTCAATATTCTGAATTTTTTCCCTTACCTTTTCTTTTCTCAACTCTTCCTTTAACATTTCTCTCAGTTTCTGGGCTTTATATATTCGATATCTGTCGGAACATGGCTGTTTCTCTTTGGGTGGAATGGAATTAGGCTGTATAGCTTCTTGATTAACTGTAGGTAAGGGATGAGGTTCTGAAGGAATGCTGACATTAGGCTTAACCGAATTAGAAGTACTTGATACTCGCTTTTTTCTCTGTGAAACAGTAGTGGAAGATTTACTGGATTCTTCAACATCACTCTCATCATCAGTCCTTTTATCACTGTTGAAACTAAAAAAGAAAAATTAAGACCTTCTTTTAAATATTCTAGTTTTTTTTTAATTTTATTTTTATATTCCCCATACAATTGCAACCCCTTATTTTGACCCCAATCCCTCCTTTTCCCACCCCGCACCCCCATAGTGTGTCTCTGGTTCATAGTTGTTGTTGATTTTGATTTTTTCTTTCTTATAGTTATTCTTTTTCCTGGTCCCTTATTAAATATTCTAGTTTTAAAAACTAGCCTGGTAAAAATCCAAAATAGTAATCTCATTTTAAAATTCAACAGAGAGATGTTAATTATGGCAGAGGTTGAAATAAAAATTATGTTTGATAGATCTTTTCAACAAATATCTAAATCCTCATGAAGATAGTATATCTTTTTCAAATTTGAAATCCCTAAGCACATTAGAGTCCATAATTTAATGCTCATACTTTTCCCTCAAAAAAAAAGCCCAGGTAAGTGGGGGAAAACGGTTAAGTCGCAGCACTATGAAGCTATTGGTGGCCACTGCAGCACAAGTTCAATCCCCGGCCAGGGAGGTGACATACATGGCGCAGCAGACCTCTCTTGATGCGTCTGCTGCTCCCCTCAGCAGTGTATTTCAGTAGACCTGCCTGTTCTGCTTCCCACTCTGTCTCTGGTGAATCCTCTCACCCCCTGGACCTCTGGCCTACACCCCAGCTCTTGATGCGTAAATAAATAAATCTTTAAAAAAAAAAAAAGCCCACCCTAAATTACAAAACAAAGCTTAGTATAATCTGAATTACCAAATAACTTCGTTTTTTTAAATTAAGTTCACAAGCTACACTAACATCCCTCTAAACTGATGCTAAGTATTGACATTTTGTTTGAATTATCAACCTGAGATTAGCTAAGCCAGAATACAGAAAACTTCTAATCTCTGAATTTTTGTATTGCAGTATTTGAAGATGTACATTGGCGACATTAATTAAACCAAATTATGTTTGAGGCAAAAATCACTTATATTTGTCAAAAGTGATCAATCAGTCCAAGTTACACATATGATATAATTCAAATTGCACATAAATATTTCAGGAATGACCTGAGGCAAATTAAAAAGATAGGAAGTGTAAGTCAAGAACTAAAAGCTGGGACTCCATGGTGGCCTATGGGTTAAGTCTCAGTGCTATCACTGTTAAGGGAGCTAACCCACTTATGGCACAGCAGAGCTCTCCTGTCTGGCCCACTGCTACCCTTAGCAGTGTATTTCAGTAAATTGGCCTGTTCTGCTCCCCACTCTGTCTCTGGAAAATCAATCCTCTCCCCCCCAGCACCTTTGACCTACACCCTAGTTCTTCTAAGGGGAAAAAAAAAAAAAAAAGCTAAACTAAAAGCAATCTACCTTTTTCCAAATACTATGATTAGTTTTATGTGAAAGTGGAAAATGTCTAAAATCTGTAAGAATAACTTTTCAAAAAGCCTCCAGTTGAAAGTCTTATCTCGGTCCTTCTAGTAATGTGATACATGCCCACTTACATTTCACCCAATTATACTGTGTAAGGACCATACCCTTAGATTTTTACAGCTAGCAAAGACCCAAAATAAAGAAAAATAAAGTATACTCCTTCAATATCAGCTGTAAAAAAACAATTACATATTCTCTAGTCTTAAATGTGTCAAGACTATATACTGAACAATGTATTAAATTATTAATCATCATGTATTCATAAGCAGTGTGGGAAAAATTTTTGAAACAATTCATGTAGGAAACTTGGAAATGACTAAGCATCACCAAGATATCAAAATAAAACCCTCCAGGGCCTCCCCGGTGGCGCAGCGGTTGAGCGCTGGGTTGTGAAGCTGCCCGCAGCCTCTGCAGCACCGGTTCGATCCCCGGCTGCTCCCCGGCCACTGGAGGAGGGTCCCACATGGCGCGTAGACCTCTCCTGCCGCCTGCTGCTCCCCTCAGCAGTGTACTTCGGTCCTTCTGCCTGCTCTGCTCCCCGCTCTGGCTCTGGTGAATTCTCTCACCCTCCCGTGCTTCTGACTGTACCCAGTGCTTGTATAAATAAATAAATAAATAAATAAATAAATAAATAAATAAATAAATAAATCTTTTTAAAAAAAAAAAAAACTACATAAAAAATAAAACCCTCCAACAAGGACCAGTTCAAGTCAACAGAGGAAGCTGAACCAAAATGAAAGGAATAAGACTTTAACCTCCTGTGCCAGCATAAAAAGGATGTGTACCAGTTTAATGCCATTACATAGGACTGATTTTTTATTGGTTTCCTTACATACAAAGTATACAAGAAATAGAAGCTATAATCAGCCCAACACATCTTTGCTCCATCACCTTATTTTCATCAAGTAACATTTTGTAGGCAACCACAAAACACTATGCCAAGAACACCTAACCCGTCTGCCAAAACATGGGAAAGACAGTTTATATCAGTTATCTCTGATCTTCATGATAACGCTCCAAAGCAGGTAATGTAATCTCTATACCACAAATAAGCATATTCTGCTCGGACCAAACCTATCAATTGTTAAATTTAGGCGAATACTGAATCAAATGTGGTACATGAGACACATGCTTTTCTTTCAGAAAACAAGGTCATCATAGCTAAATCAAAGGATGTACCCAGCCAGATGTCCTTCCGTTGTCGTAAATCACCAAGATCAAAGTAACGCCGGACTTCTTTTAAAAATAAATGTTTGGAAAATTTTAAAATTACTTAACTCCCGCAAAGTGTCCATAAAAATGAAAACTATGGTAAACTAAATTTTCTAATTACTACCAGGTGTACGTATTCTTCACTTCGAGACTGTTACACCTGAATTCCTTCCACCAGCCCTCGAAGACTTGGTCCCCTCCCCGAGAATCTATAAACTGTAACAAAATTCACATTTGCCACATCCTGTGGTCAGAGGGACAAATTGCAGTGTGAATTGAATTCATGGGACTTAGTGACAGCAAGAAAGTACGGTAAAGTTCATTTGCTCAGCTTCCAGGTGATAAGCCCGGAGAGGCGAGGAAGAGACGAAAACGTTCCCCCTCTGCAAGCACTCACCTATTGCCGGGTGTCTTTTCTTGGGGTTCCGCTCCCCCGAAATCCACTGGGGGCACATCTGTAGATTCCGCTGGCTTTGGAGCAGAGGCTACGGAAGGCTCTGGCGGCCTGGAAGTCTCTGGTCCACGCTGGGGATTGGGGGCGGTGGAGCCCCTAGAGCCTACGCCAGGCCTGACATTCGGCTTCACGCTAAGGCGTGCCCTACGGAACATGGCGGAGCCAGGGGGCCCGGGGAGGCGGCCCTACAGCCGCTCTCAGCCCCGAGCCCCGGCCACTGCCCCAAGAGAGAGTACGAACTACGCCCTTCCCACAAAGCCAAACCACCAGCCCAGCGGGCAGCTACCGCAATTTCGCGCCCCCACCACCTCCTCCTTCCTCCCGCCGCCGCCTCTTCTTCATGACCCTGCTACTGTAATAGCTAAATTTCCCCCCCACACCTTGCTCCCCGCCCTCGGAGAGCGCCGGAACTTAACGTCATCAGTCGGCGCCGTGAATTTACGTAAGACGCACAGAGCCCGGAGCCATGGCAACTGTCAAGCTACCTGACCTGAGTTACTTGTGAACCGGAAACTGAGAGTCAAAGGGATGTGCTGCTACCTTCACCAGCGTCCTGAGGACTTGAAAAGTGGCGGAAGGAGGTAGTGAAGCCCTCTGCCCAAACCTTTACGGGAACTATTAAAATCGCTGACGATTCGGTTTTTAGAGGGTCTTGTGGAGCAGTGCGTGTTCACTACCACATCCCTAGGGCTTAGAAATTCTAATTAAGTAAAATGTAGATTGGAAATTCAGATGTGAAGAAATTACTAATTACCACCTATAAGGGGAACTGGATTCTGGGAAGCATGTCGTGGGAGGTAAACCGTTTACAGCATATCCTTGTGCACTCTCTGCAGGCGAATTTATCACCTATTCAAAAATTATTATAGTTAAAACTAATGTGATTATACTTAATCTGCTTCACGGGGTAACAATAGAACAATAAACAGGGTGTTCTGGGTTGGAGAGAGTAAAACAACAAATGGACAAGACAAATTATGTTAAATGCCATGAAAGTTAAAGGGAAATATGATAGAGATTAATGAGACTGATGGGGTGGTTAGGAAAGGTCTCTATGGCCAGAGGAGAAATGGCCAGAAGTTAGGTTGGCTCTAGAAAGTATGAGTCAGTGCTTGAAACTTCCAATACAAATCTCCTGACTCAGGATAACAAAAATGGCTGACTTCCTTTTTGGAGAAGATTCTACAAAACATCCAGCTACATTAATATCAAAATGTCAAAGGAATAAAATCCTGAACGGATTTCAGAGATTGTCAGGTTATACATACAAAGATAGACAGAAAGGAGGCAAGTGCTTTTTAGAGTAGGAAGGCAAGGTTGAAAGTGCAGAAGACTTTTTTTAATAAGGTGGGGGTGGGTGGAGCTCTGTAGGTTCTATGGGCCTCAGATACACCTAAAGAAGCTCAGGAACTCACCAGAGAACATTTTGCCAAAGATGTGACAGGAATCTTGGCACTACTGCCAAGACCACATAACTCTGAGCAGCATGTACACAGGTATAAACTGAAGACACAGGTCTTTTCCCAAGTACTCTGTTTCACCCAAGAGTGGCATTCCCATTATTTCATAGGTAAGGAAGTCAACAATGACTAAGATTTAATTTCTAGTTTCCCATTAGTAAAGGGTGGGACAAGTCAAAGCTAATTTTATTATTATAGTCATTCATTTCATACCCAAGTTGGTGAAGTAATTTTTTTGTGTGAAGCAAATTCTTAATATCACAATAATTTTTAAAAGATTTATTTGATTTATTTATGCATATAAGAGCTGGGGTGTAAGCCAGAGGTGCAGGGGGGTGAGAGGATTCACCAGAGACAGAGTGGGGAGCAGAACAGGTGGATCTACTGAAATACACTGCTGAGGGGTGCAGCAGGGGAGACAGGGGAGGTCTGCTGTGCCACATGGGTTAGCTCCCTGGCCAAGGATCAAACTCATGCTGCAGTGGCTGCTGATAGCTTGGTAGTGCCAAGACTTAACCCTTGCACTGCCAGGGAGGCCCCTCCTCACAGCAATTTTTTTTTTTAATTTTTTTTAATAGAGGCATGTTTTATTTATTTGTTTGTTTGTTTGGTTTGTTTATACATGCACTGGGTACAGTCAGAAGCGCGGGTGGGTGAGAGAATTCACCAGAGCCAGAGCGAGGAGCAGAGCAGGCAGAAGGACCTAAGTACACTGCTGAGGGGAGCAGCGGGCGGCAGGAGAGGTCTGCGCGCCATGTGGGACCCTCCTCCAGTGGCCTGGGAGCAGCCAGGGATCGAACTGGCGCAGCAGAGGCCGCGGGCAGCTTCGCAACCCAGCGCTCAACCACTGCGCCACTGGGAAGGCCCTCACAGCAATTTTTAAAGTCTCCCATTTTCTCAAATACATACAGCCAACCTGTCTTGTGTATTCAGTGTATCCCTGTAACTCAAAAACTATATTTTCAACTGCAAAGAAAAATTGATGATCTCTTTTTATCTATAAAGAGTACCACTGGCCAGAAAGTCATTCTTTCCTCCAGGCTCAAGTTACTCCAGAAGAGGATCCCTAAATGGAAACAGACACGTGGTCTGTAAGCAACAGTGTGGAAACTGTTGAAGGGATAATGACATTAATAGCTACCGTACTGAATGCTATTATATGTTGGGTACTTAATACTTCACACATATTAACTCAATTAATGAAGGAGATCCAATTACCTCTCCAGTTGGCTGTTAAGGGATCTTAAATGGAATGAAATAACATGTTCATGGTAGAGCTTGTAAAGCTGGACTTCCAACCCAGACATTGCATCTCCAGCTCCTTCAGTCTTCACCACTTTCTCCTACCTTCTCTAAAACAGGCTTTTTTTTATTAGTAATAATTGTTGAGGTTTATCATCTATACTTGGAGTCCATTATATTATGTCTTTACCAAAAAAAAAAAAAAAAAAAAGTGGGTTGACAAAGCCCCAAGGAGAGGTACACGGCGAGGGAAATACACCTATAGTTGTCTCAGACACAGGACCGGTTTCTGAACTCTACCAAACTTGCGAAGCAGAAGAGGCCCCGGCGGCACGTAATTCCCAGGAGTTGCGGACCCGGGCCCCACTCCTGACCGCCCAGCCCCGGGGCCGCCTGAGCCGCCGCGCACACGCTGCCGCGCTCCCGCCAGCCGCTGCGGTTGCCACGCTCGGTGGGCGGGGCTGAGGCGTCGGGGGGGCGGCGGGGCGGGGCGGGCGGGGCTCCCGCGCGGGCCCCGCCTTCCCCATCGACTTGGGTGAACCGCCGCTGAGAGTGCGCCGGGGCGGTCGCCTCTCCGAGTCGCTTTCTCCGCTCTCTGTCCCGTCGTCAGCATGGCCCGTGAGTGTGCGGAGGGGCGGGGGGCGCAGCCGGCGAGCACCCCTAGCACAGAGCCTAGCTCCGAGGCGCGGCTGGTGGCAGGCGGAGGTTGGGTCAAGAGGCCCCTGGGTATGGCGCGGCGGGCCAAGTCTTCTAATCCGCGGGGAGAGGGAAGGTTGACTCCGGTCGGGTCTGGAAGGTCTGTCAGGTACCGGCCCCGCTGGTGCGAGTTTACACACTAAAGAGCGTCTTCCCAGGAGGTGTACAAAGACCCGCCCTCGAAGAGGTCCTGGCCTGGGTGCTTCATAACTGGTCCCTAAAGTCGCAAGGCCTAATGATGTGAGGGAGCTCCGGCCGCCTTCTCCCCAGTTCTTTTGTTTGGCCCTTGCAGGTAATCCCTCTTAAGCATCTGCACTTGCTCCCTTACAGTGGAATTGTGCGAGGTGTGAGCTCGGTGAATTTTTCTCCACCCACACCCCTCAAAAGCCAGTACTTATTTTGGAATACTGGCTCACATTGACGACCGGAATGTCTGTTTTAAGAGATGTGGTATCTATGAACACCTTGACTGGTATGCTGATACTCTTAAGACCTTGAGTGGCTAAGCTGCCTCCCTGTCAGATGAGGAATGCCATCCACTGCTGCACTCTGCTGTTGACTTAACTTTAAAAAGCAAACTTCACATGCATTTAAATAAGAGTCTTGGGGTGGAATTACTGATGTTTTTGGAGATGGGGAAAGAGCGTAACTGTTTGCCTTTGTAGGTGGAAATCAACGAGAACTTGCTCGTCAGAAAAACATGAAGAAATCCCAGGAAATAAGCAAGGGAAAAAGAAAAGAGGATAATCTAACCGCCTCTCAGAGAAAACAAAGGTGAGTGACACTAAAGGAATTCTCAGGTCACTGAAGTTTTCATTTTGGAGAAATGAAAAATAAAGCATTTTTTAGATCCTTTGTAGAACTGGCTCTAAGGATAGCAGTTGAGTAACTGTTGTGTGCAGGCATACTAAATCTGCAGTAACAACATAGGAAAGAGCCTTGATTTTGAAATTAGGCAGGCCTTGATTTTTATGTGGTTGGGGGGAAATTATTTAATTCTAAGCCTTTAATTTTTTTTTTAATCTGAAACATGGGAATAATAACAGTTGGTGTGGAGCTCACAGCTTAATCCACAGCCAACGAAACACCTACGTATTGAAAATGATTGGCATTGAATAAATAGCCATTTAATATTTATTTTTAAAATATGGGTTTCATGGGCCATATAGCCCAGGTACTGTAGTTGCAGTTCACAGTTTATATGGCACTTGGAGGTTTATTTGGTATAATCTTCAATCACCTGCTATTTCTTGACTTAGAAGAACCTGATTTGCTTCGTAACAATTATGTCCTAGTCCTAGGTACTAGTTAGGAGATCTATAGTCTTCTTATAGTCCTCCTCTTTCAGGGAAAAAAATTTAAAGAAAATTAATTTTGTTGACAGTCAAAAATAATTGCCATTATTTCTATATGTAGCCAATGTCAGGTACCTTCCTCCCCCCCCACACATTCACATACATATTCCTAAGATCAGCCCTGAGATATATTGCTCTAATTTTTAAAAGGAGGTTTTTAGGTTATTTGCCCAAAGGTCATGGTAACAATAGAGATGGTATACAAATTAGACGGCCATAAGAGTCTTTCCATTTTTTGCCTTCCTGTGCTGTCTCAATCCATGGAAATGGGAAAACAAGAATGTTTATATCTTCTTTAAGTTATTTTCTAATACACTGAGTGGGTTATTTATAGATACAAATGAGAACTTAAAATCAGTTTTTCTTTAACAACTCACAGCCTTTTCCCCCATTATAGGGATTCTGAGATCATGCAACAAAAGCAGAAGGCAGCTAATGAGAAGAAGTGTATGCAAACAAGAGAAAAATGATGACTGGCTATTTGGAAAGCCTGGGTGCTACTGCCAACTTGGTGTATAATAACCTCTATGATCAAGATTTTGTAGAGTGAACAGTCATCCATAAGTAATACCTTACCCTTATAAAACTATTTTA